ATCCTTAAACACTTTTCCCAGTAGAGAAAGGGATGATGGCTGAACATTCTCCATTCTGAAATTGTACCATCCAAGAAGGCTTCCTGGAGGGGACTGGGCGGTAGTTGACATTTCTGAGCCAGTTACCATCCCACATGCCAAGGTCATGGCTTTTCACTGTCTTCCCTGACTGTGTCCCCCAGCTGACTTCAGTACCTTTATTGCTACCTACTCCTAACCTCCCACTAGCTTGCCAACCTCCCAAAGTGCTAGGATTACAGGTGTGAGCCACAGAGCAGTGACCAGTCCACAGTTTGGGAGTGAAAGAGCTCATAATCCTAGGCCCACAGCTACCCTGCCAGTTGCCCTCCTGCTCCCACCTACCTCCACATGTACATACTTCCCAGCCCCAAGCCTGGCTTCTCTCCCTCTCCTTTCTCCTGACTTCAGCAAATTGGCAGGGTAGGGCTAATGGACTGCAAAGAGGGGTGGAGGAGCCAGAGTGGGTGGAGGGGCAGAAGTAAGGCTTTGGAATAAAGCCTCTGTGTGTGTGTGTGTGTGTGTGTGTGTCCTAGAATGCCCCCTGCATGTCTTAGCATGGAACTCGTTGCAACATGCCAGCCCCAAAGCTGAGCGCACAGGCTGGGACTGGTGGAGGCACCACAGCAGCAGCAGCAGACTGGGAGCACAGCAGCATCTCTCCTCCCAGATCAAGGGATTGTCAGTACATTTATTAAGAAACTACTATGTGCTTGCTATGCACTGAGCATCCACCTGTATCTGAGCATAGAGAAAAGAATCAGAAAATGAGGCCCGGTGGGGTAGCTCACGCCTGTAATCCCAGCACTTTGGCAGGCCGAGGTGGGTGGATTGCCTGAGTTCATGAGTTCTAGACTAGCCTGAGCTAGAGTGAGACTCTGTCTCTAAAAATAGCCAGGTGTTGTGGCAGGTGCCTGTAGTCCCAGCTACTTAGGAGGCTCAAGCAAGAGAATTGCTTGAGCCCAAGAATTTGAGGTTGCTGTGAGCTATGACATCACAGCACTCTACCCAGGGAGACAAAGTAAGACTCTGTCTCAAAAAAAAAGAAAAAAGAAAAGAAGGGCGGTGCCTGTGGCTCAAAGGAGTAGGGCAACAGTCCCATATGCCTAGGTGGCAGGTTCAAGCCTAGCCCTGGCCAAAAACTGCAAAAAAATAAATAAAT